GCTGACCCGAAACCGGGCTGGGGTTGAGCAGGAAATGACGGCTCCAGGAAATGGAATTATTGCAAGATAATTGCCTTTATGTGTGCTGCTAATCACAGTAATCCTAGAGACAAGAGATAACAATCACTTGAAAACCTCTGTTATTAAAAATAAGTAAAAAAGAGCCAATATAAATAGCATGAGGATTATACTTGCTCCTTTATACCATGCATCTTTTTCTTTTTGGTTGGTATTTTTTCACTTAAAATGCTTCATGTAGAACCTGTGGATACTCCGACAAAATGATTCTGCAGAGGAAATTGTTAAAGAATTTGCAGGGAAAATATATAAAAAAAATAATCTGCCTTTTACACCACTGAAGTAGACACTCAATGCAGCACACCCTTAGTTGAAAGCCTGATTTTTGAGACAACTATCAGCTTAATTTTCCAAGAGGTCAAAGGATTTCTTGGATTTAATCAGAATAAAGCCTCTCTAAGATGGTCATATCTGACAGCTTGCAACAAAGGTGCTGAGAGACTTCAACCTTTTCTTTGGAAAGAAATCTTCCCGAAAGTTACTGCCAGTAAATACAAGGTAAATTAATTAATCAGGATAAAATCAGAGGGCGTGATATTTAGACAAACTGGAGGCATTCAAATATCATCTATGCGTGAAGCACTGCCACAAAAGAAATTGATTATGAAAGAAGTTGTGAATTCTTACAAACCTCTTAGCTGCAGATTTGTAGAGCTGTTGGAAACTCCCTTTGCGCGGCAGAAATGAAACTGCAGCAAAATCGAAAGCCGTGTTAAGAGCCCTCCCCCTGGGGAGGCAGCAAGTTCACGCTGGAATCCTCACACCCTTCCTGGAGGAGAACCTTGTCCTCACCCAGCAAGGTGCACTCGCAGCCCCGGTGCCTCACCTGAGACGACTTCTGCAGGGCAGGCAGCTGCCAAATCTCTGCTGCCCACTCTCCCCGGAGTTGCACAGGGCACCCAAAAGCTGGGATTCTTCCTTACAAAGTATCATAAAATGCACACAGTGTCTCAGAAATGCTTTTATAAGGGGAAAAAAAATAACCTGTGAACAGGAGAACATCATGAATAATAAAACTGGATCATCGGGAAGATGCCCTCATCACTCTGGGCTTCTCTGGCTGGCTGCAGGGCCTCGAGAGTGGTGCGGATGGAGGAGATCTCATCCTGCAAGTCTGCAAAATAAAAGAGGAGTCCATTACAGGCAGCTGGTTCCTGGTAAATCTGTTTGGCAGATAAACCTTTCCTTGCTCCTGGAATGACCAACCATCTGCTCTCAGATGCAGAGGCAGCAGCTTTGAACCTCTCTAAATTATTAATTGGACGGCAGGAGTGATCAGTCACCAGTTATGGATGACAACTGGTCAAGGCAGATGTCTATGGGCAGGCCCTCGAGCGTGGGGCTTAGACCCACATCTGTGCCTTGAGCCAACTTATTGGGTCAACACTGGTGAGGAGTTGTAATGGATTAAAGATGGTAATAATGCTTCTGGGCACCACTGGAGGTGACTCCTGCTGCAGAGGCAACACCACTGGTGACCTCCCAGGGCACAAGAACTTCCTGATGCCAACGTCTCACAAGGACATGTCCTCACATTACCACACGTGTTCCCCAATCCTTTTCTGGGACATTGTCCTCTACCCACAAACACTGCCCATGGCTGTAGAGAGGTCCTCAAGGAATGAGAAGGTGCACAACATACCTGCAGGGCCTCAAAGTATTTTCTCCAGTCCTTTTTCAAACATTCCCTCTTCCAACACTCTCTGCATACACATGGTAAAGCAGCAATTCATACTCTGCTGCTCCCATGGCTCATCAGCACCTGTTGGTAAAACATCGCCCGTCCC